CGTCAACAGTATTCTCATTCCCTAATATCATGACAACTCAGATTGGTGAGTCATATTACAATAAAAACTAACATTTTGCAGACTCTCATTGTTTTTAACAGGAATTAACATAACTCTAACAAAGTTAACATACTTCCACCACACTAAATGTGGTTAACTTTTTAGCACAATTTTTTTTTAAAAATTTTAATGGGATTCATATTTATAAAAGGTAGATTATTGTATGAATTTATTAAAATACACTTAATGAAATAAAATGAAAAATAAATTTATTAAAAATATTTTAATAAATTTACAAGACCAACTGCATTTTTAATATACAATTAACTTTGTAAAACATTTTTTTAATTTTAATTACTGCCCTCTCCCTACTCCACTTACCCACTCCGCTCAATTCTATTGTTAGGGCATAGGCATGACTTTCTATGATTTTTTTTTTTTTGGCCGACATACTACTCTTCTGCATCTACTTGCATTCCGTGAGAGCTTATACCTAATACATTGTAGAATATCAGATCAGCTTCTCTTCCTTGTGCCAGATTGCTATGAGTGAGTAGAAGTGTGCGAACAGTGGGAATTTAAATCCAATCATTGATGAAGATTTGAAGCAACTGATTGATATGGTTAATTGTGAGGACTTAAAGGCAATGAAGGACGAAGGATTTCAGCCATGTAATGGTGTCAATGACAAGGAGTTGAAGCCATTGAAAGATGTGGATTCTAAGCCAAAGGTGGATGTCCTTGAATCTGGTGAGTATAGTTAGCAAAGAAAACAGAGTTGAGTTCTTTAAAAGATGAGGATTTTAAAATTGTGAAGGCTGTGGAGGAACTGAAGCTGGTTAAGGATATTGTCATATTGGTAATATTACAATTACAATATCACGTAAAACCATAACGTTTTAAGGTATAGGTTTAACTTCACTTTGTTAAGTCTATACCCATTGAGAATTTTATGAATCTTTTGCTGTTCTTTAATGAACCAAATGAATTTCTAAAACAAAAATTCTTCAATTTAATTTTCAATCATTTAACCAAAAAAGGTGCAAAATTATAAAATTATAATTATGGCTAGCTAGGCCAACCGTAAATCATACAAACATTCAAAAATTAAGTGAACAAGAGAAATGCAAATAGCATAGACTAAACAGTAGACGTCTTTAAGGCATCAGTTGTATATGATACCTAGCAAAGATAGTTACAGAATATGATACAGCAGCGCTTGCGACAGCCCAGGCTACCCATTCTTCAAAGGTTCCATTGACAGGATTCAAAGAAACGGTGCATGGTTGGTTCTCTACGTGAAATGTATTCTCATTGCCATGGGTTATGATGTCCGCTCCTTTCAGTTGGTGAGCCAGGGACAAAAGGAACAAATCCCCTGCCACCAAACACAGGACGCATGAAAGCATCATCGAATTTACGCCAATAGTGATGAACATTGCGTGTTGGGGTTCTGAGAAGTTCACGTATGGAGCTCGGTCGCTGGACATCATTTCCACTGATATCATCACCGAAAGAATCTTGTCCACTCCCAAGAAATGGTACGGTAATTGATTTAGGACTCGATGCATCTGACATCATGCTTCTTGTTTGCTTTGGATTAGGCAACAAGAACCTGATTAGAGGCTTAGTCATTAAACCAAACACCTGAAAAGAACAAAAAGAGTCAGTGCCAGTTAAAAACTCAACATGTACTGTTACCTGTGAAAGATATACTCCATGAGCCTAATGCAGAATACAACCGAGGATGAATTGCTTTAACAGTTTCAAAGAAATAATAAAATGTACTAACTGAATTATCAATTAAACCTACGCCAACGAATTAGGGACTGACAGCTAAGAACTACATCCACTTGGTCTTGACAGGAAGGAAAAAGAAGACAAAAAAGCCTAAAAAAAGCAACCCACGTCAATTATAATTAGTTCTCATTCAAACCTCGAATAACAGAGCATAATAAATTTAAAAAGGCATGAAAATTAGGACAAAAATATTGTGCAACTTCTAAGATAAACAGTTAAGCAATTTGATAGAATTAAGATGGGAGTTATCTTACCACAGTGCTGAAAAGAACAACTGTTATTGTGCTTGTAATCAAAATTGCATTCTCTCGCAATTGGGTATGCCCAGACCTTGTAAACTGCAATGATATTGTTTGAAATTTATTTATGAAACCATCAAAAGTTTATCAAATTATACAAATGCAAACAACGCTCAGGACTTTCCCTTGATTCCTTCCCCTTTCATGCTAGCAATAGCTTTCTTCAATCATACAATAAGCATTCTGACTTTCATCACCGTCAATAAACAACTTTTCCACTAAATTAGTTCCTATAGCTACTGAAAACCATTTTGTATTCAGAAAGAGAGAAAAGAAAACGAATTTGCTACAAATGAAAGATCATCCATATTTTACCTGATTGTATGCAAGTGCCATAGACACAGCACCTCTCATAAGACCAGCCCACCAGATTATTATCTAAACAAAGAAACAGAGAGAATAATCAGATTTGACACCATTAATTGATTAGCAGAATAAAAAAGGGAAAATAAGAGTAAAAATGGAAAACAACAACAAAAAAGTGCATGAGAAAAATAAACACGTACTTGTTGCCTAAAGCTAATTCTATCATTAGGAGATTTCTTAGCTAAGTTCGATAAAAGCGATAGGGGAAAGACAAATGCTGCCCTTCCAACCATAACCAGAGCAAGCAGTACCCCACTTACAGCAACAGATGTTCCAGGACTGCAAAATGAGATTGAACATAGTTTTACATAAGCCGATGTTTTGTTAAATAGCTTCTTTTTTTTTTCTTTTTTTTTTTTTGCACAGTTTGCGTAAGGAAAGAGTAAAAAATAAAACTAAAAAAAAAAAACCCAAGGTATTGTTAGTTGTGGCTGGAGAGAACAATTAACAATTTAATACATAATCCATATAGATTATTGGGGATTTATAGAAATACCTGTCACTTACAAATCTCCATTTCTCAATATCCAAAGCATCCATACCAACATAAAGAAAGATAAAAGTCTCCGCAACAAATGACAAAGTTGCAAAAGCATGCCTGTATGAACAAAAGAATGATATCCATTAGGCATATGAACAGTTAAACCTTTGTTTTAGAATTTTTCATTTTTGAAATCAAATAATCAAGAACTTCTAATGCCCTGAAATAGCATTTATGAAAGAGATATACTTGGCAGTTACTCTTGAACTCTCAGTCACATTGTGCCAAGTGTAATGGGACATCACAATCCCACAAAAAAATACTGTGAGAATCCCACTCAAATAGAACAGCTGCAGGAAAGCAAACATTAGAGTCATGATTGACAAATTAACAGTCACATCTAGAAATACATTTGAGAGACAAATCAAAAAACTCCAGGAAAGTGCCTGAATGATACAATAATCTTACTTCAGCCATGATATATGAAAGGTATGCCATGAGAATCATAAGAGCAACCTCACGGTCTGTTGAATGCCTGAATAATGTTAGAATTAACCACGAAATTTCATTAGTACTTCAGAATCAAGACATTGAAACAGCATTGAAATAATAACAAAATTCAAGTTCAAGTCTCATGTGAGGTAAATTATCATTTCCTGGAGGTCACAAACGTACCAGAGAAAAAGCTTAAAAGGAATTAAGTGCATGGATGCTGGAATTGGAACTCAACACAATAAGTCATTCTTCAGGTTGATGCCATTTAAAACTCTAATGGTACATACATTATTGGTAAGTTGTGAAACTTAGAGCCAAGGAATAAGAACAAATTTCCCCTACTCAGCGAGGCATAAACTTTTATAAAAGGTTTGTGTATCTATTTTTTAATTTTTAAATATTTGAATTCCTCTAAAAGAAGAATTGTGACTGCAACATTCTCTATAGAAGCATCCAGCCAAACTAATATGCAGGAAAACAAACCAGATAGTGAGTTTTGATTCACTTCAAACACACATGACTGATCCAAACAAAATCCAATGCATGTTTGTCAGATTTAAAATTGAGAAAAGAGGCCACTTGTAAGTTGAGGAACCCATCTGATAATGATATAAAATATATAATGATGCATGATATGACAGGAGATGATAACAAAAAAGATTATCAAAAGAATTCAAAACCAAAACACCAAAGCTTACCTGGCCAAGTACAATGTTTTAATAATGTATGCACTTAGCAGCCCGGCCTGTACCAAAAACAAAAAGACGGACACAGGACATTGGTAAAAATATGCCGTACAGAATATGTATCTGAGTGTGTAAGTGAGACTGAGACTTACAGCCACTCCTAGCACAGTGCTAGTGAAAAATAAATAGAAGAAGTTGCCAATAAACTGCAAAGCAATTCTGTGATTGATATGAGTGAGGTCAAAGCTCTGAATTGCATTAAAAAGCACCACTGAGGTTGCATCATTTACAACACCCTCTCCGAAAACCAGACTGTAAAGTAGTGGTGTCTCATCCTGACTAAGCACCTGGGTAACCAGAGTAAGCAACTCTAATTTAGCATGTCATGGTCCATTTACATTTTGAAACACTACAATAATTATGGTTTTTACCAACCTGTAGAGTGCAGACAGAATCTGTTGCAGCAAATATTGCACCAATTGCTAAAAAAAAAGGGAAAATATTAATACAGCCAATCCAAAGCAAGCAATACCATGAGTAAAGAAAGGCAAAAGTAATACCTAGAAAATCTCCAATATCCAATGAGCCAATATCCATTTCCTTGAAGAATTGAATTACCCCTGTATCAACCATCAGAGAAATAGTCATGGTGAGGATAAATGAACACTGTCCTACCACCTTATCAGCTACCAAGAAGACAGATAAAATGAAAAAGAGAAAAATGACCAAATTTATTAGGATATTCTTTTGCCTTTACACTTGGAGAAACTGCAGTCATTAAGTCTGAAAACCTACCAACTGATATGATGGTACAAGATATTAATGTGCCGACTGCACCAAACAGCATGATGGTGATAAAGTTACGGAAAAATTGCTTTTTCTTCACCTGAAACCTTCATTGAAAGAAGAGATCAGAAACTGAAAGAAATTAGAAAGAGCAGAATCTGTAAAAGTGATGATTTAACTAGTTAATTCAATCCCAATGCTAGAAAAAAGTTATGTGCGTTCTATTCACAAAAGGTAAAGATGTTGGAATTCTCATAATAGTTTGAATCAACATCAGAGTCTTTACAGGGGTATACTGTAAAAGATAGCAAAATTTTAAAAGCAATACAATTGCTGCATATTCATCTACTTTATCCTTAACCGATTAAATTATCACGCAACATCCTTTTCGCTGATAGATCTCCTCCACTGATTTGGCAAACAGAAAGAACAAAATGAAGAACAAGTGCAAATTAGTATAAGGGGCAATTAGACACTACGCAGATACTGATTGAATTAAAGATTAGAATTCCAAAGTCTGCTAGTTATCTATGTAAAGTAAGACAGGCAGTTCAGCAGGACCAAAAATCAGTTTGACATGCATTAAATACCAAAATCTCAGATCTCTTGGTTAAGGAACCCCTGCACATCTCTTGGTATGTGTTGCATTAATTCTCCATAATAGACTATGAACTGCATCTGTAACATAAGAGATTCAGAAGTAAATAATGAAAAACTATATAGCCTGGGGAAATTTTTTATGGCATACTATTTTCAAGATGTAAAATTGAGAGAGACCAAAAATCTTGAACTCTCAAAAGAGAATATTAGTCATGCATATTTGCATGTCCTTAGATCCTAATCTCCCATCCAACCTACAACATACCAAAACCTTACATTTCTACATTCCTAGGAGAAAAACTGTGGATAATGTGTTCAGTGCATAATGATAACAAAGCCATTTCAACCTGCATGCATTAACTATGATAGTAATTGATCAAAAGACCTTCATCTTACAGCTTTATCAATTAGTGCGTGAACAAAACCTTTTATAAAGTCTGTTTAGTTTTTCCTTCCAAAAAAGAAAGTCAATTTAGCAACATAGTGCATTATGCTAGTAACTACTGCATTAGGAAATGAAAATAAATAATCTCAAAATAACAATGATTTTAGATTTTTCCACTCAGAAGTCAGAAGACATAAGAGTTGATGTATAACAAACTTACCCAGCATTAAAAATGATTGGTGGTAGAAGATATATAAAGAAAAGGTCTTCACTGAAGACTAAAAGATGCGAACTTTTACCCCCACTGACCAGCAAAATAACAACACCAGTACAAAGACCCTGCCATCAATCCAAATCAGTTAAGTTATGTCAAATAAGCAAAATGGAATTATGGAAGAAATGGTCCAACATTTTTCTCTCAAAACAAAAGAAATGATCAACCAAACAAAAATCCCCACCCTCAACCCAACCAAACAAAAATCCCCACCCTCAACCCAACCAAAAATTTAAACTTCAAAACTTTTGAACTTCAAAACTTTTGATCTTCAAAACCTCAACTCACTTAAGCCTAATGCAACACTAGGCTTAATTTAGAAGCTAAATCTATTTTTCCTCTGTGAAAAAGTCCATCCATAAATCTTTGTCCTCAGGAAAAAAAATTGCAATCAGAAGATAGAGAAAACTCACAATGAGAAGGGCAGTGATTGACTCATTCATCCATCGGTTCTCCTCCAGAAGATGACCAATTACAATACAAGCACAAAGAAGGGCCACAAATATATTCAGAGAGACCACAGAGGCATGGTCAGAAGTAGATAATTGCAGTTTCGACACAATAGAAGCAAAATGTAATGCCATTGTCCCAACAGATGTAAATCTAACTATTGCAAATAACAATATATCCTGACCACACAATGAAATCTATGTCTCTGAGCAGTCTATTTCAAGAACCTTTAAAATCTCATATCCATGCCAGTTCTGCAATGACAAAAACCAATGAAAGGAGATAGTTACAAGTACAGAATTTGTGGGGTTTTTCTTCCCTGTTTTAGAACTAGCAAAACATAATCGAACGCCGAATAATTTTTTTAAGTTCATGTTATCATAGATTAAAAATTAGAAAAAAGAAAAGAAAAGAAAAATTATACAGAAAAATAGATTAAAAAAGGAAACAGAACTCAAATTTTCAGTTAAATGATGTTTGGTTGCTGAGAAAACATACAAGCGGAATGGAAAGAAAAAAATCTTCAATAAAGCTGAAAACCAGTAGGGAAAAACTAAAAATTCAAAAATCTGTTTGCCTTTCCTTTTCCCTCGACTCTCTCTGCAACAAAACACAGAAATGGAATAAAAAATAAAACATTAAACACATATGATACAATGCTGACCACGTCGGTTCGAAGAAGCAGCTGGATCCACGAATAACGCCGGAGAATTCAAACAGAAAACTCGGAATCCAAAATTCCGGTGCAAAGATGATCCTCAGATCTGGCAATGGTGCAGAATGCCGCGGTATCTTCAGGATCAGTGGAAGCTGAATTACCAGAGAAAAATGTAAGAACTTTGGTTATAAAGGGAAGAAAATTTCTAGAAAGTAAATGAAACAGCGATGGGTGGGAGACAATGAAGAGCCGTGCAGTGCGGGGTGGCGGGCAGCAAAGGAAACAAACGGATGGGAAACGGAAAAGAAAGAAGGATTAGCTGCGGTAAGTCGGAAAAAAATGATTTCGTTGGCGATTAAATCAATCGTTGAATTTGTTGATGTGTAATTAGATAACAAATCGAACGGTTGAAAGGTTAGGTTAGAGTGTGATCGGGTGTGAGGGAACACGGGCTGGAAAAGTTTCTTTGGCATATGTGTTACGTGTTAGGCTGAAGGGGAGGAGAACATGAAATTGACTTGTGCTATAAAATTGTTATCCAATTC